CGTTGAATGACGACATAGCCCTGCTCGCATCACATCCAGTGGGGGCAGACGATCTCCAGTCCAAAAGCCAGCTTCAGGCCGTGCGGAAGGCCCTGCAAAACATCGAAGCCCTTAGCGAGGGCAAACGGAGCTCTTCCTTCTCGGAACTCGAGGCTCTGGAGCTGACGTCAAGTTTGGGGTGGGTCTCGGGCTTTCAGGTCTGAAGAATTGTTATGATAATTGTAGCAGGTGAGACTGGGCAAGTGGGTTCTGTTGATGACAGTATGGAGTAGGAACCTATAGTAACTATAATATGACTATATATACTAGCAGTTATGATAGGTTTGGCATTTGGAGTTAACGCTTTGGGCTTAAGGTTGATGGATGGCTTCTGGCTCAGTCGTCAATGCGGCTTAAGACCACCACCTACATCCGAACGCCATGTCTTACTAGTAGACATTCCCCTTCTTATGCAGTATACCTGTTCTTTGTTACGACAAAATTCCAACCCCTCGCCTGACTACTGACTGCAGTGATACTCCTGCACTATAGTATATATTATACACTGCGAACATCTTCAACTTGAGTCGAGGGAAACAATTCTTTCGTAGGCCAGCGATGATGCGGTCCCAGCCGCGCCGGAGAGCAATCTCGTACAGGCCTGCTGTGAAGATTGTCCAAGGTCAGGGACTGTTTTGCGATATATTCGGGAAATTCTGAAGGAGTTCGTTCGGATTTAGAGCGGTCAGGCAGTGCCCATGGATGATAGGGGACGACTTGCTCAAAGCCGGGAATTCAGGACTCTTGCGGAGCACACTGTTGGAAATCTATGGGGCTAGATCGCAGTAGAAAGTGACTTGAAGCGGCACACCCTAAAATGCGGTGGCTGCCGGCATGCCGCTTTGGATCTGGAATTCTCGGAGTCCGTATCTGGGGTCTTCTTGTGAAGCTAAGTGGCCAATGGGATCAAAAGAAACAGAACCTTGTAATGTTCACTTGTCAAAGTAAGAACCTCCCCTCACCCCACCGAGGATGTGGGCCGGAGCCTCTGGAATTAAGAGTATCCGGGTCCATGAGCTGGAGCTCCCCCCTCGGTATAGCCAAACTACTCTTCTGGCGCTTCCATGTTTTTGCGCTTTGGCATTTTGCGATGTTGGGAGCGGGGGAGTTGTAATTACGTTCTGGGATGTAGATGTTGCGGTTACAACGGGTTTAGTAGACATTATAAAGACTCTGGTTGCGTCTCTTCAGAGTTAAGTTTTGATTGGGTTGTGGCTTATCCCACTGGTAAGCTTTTGCAAAGCTGATGCCAGTCACTCAAATAGTACTTACCCCAAGCAACAAAGAGATCAATCAAAACTATCAATAACTATAACACCTTGGCGGTCGTTGTGTAACTTGTACTCCTTGTCATTCTGTGATGATCTCACACGTCATTGATTGATGGACCAACAAATTGTCGTGTCGCTTTGTCCGCCGTAACTGAAGGTGAGCACCGCCACCGAGGGTACCGAGGGTGGTCAGGCCTGGGCTCTTCAAAGCTAACATGGAAGCTCACACACGCCCCGCTAAAAAGGACAGTAGTCCGTTTCGGGTTTCCAATGGTTTCCATGTTCTTTTGCAGTTTGTTGGGACTTCCGGGTTAGCTGAACTTGCTGTCTTGGGCATCAAGCTCGTAGATGGTTTGTACACATCTTCCTGGATGAATAGAGGAGATGGTCCTTGAAGATCTTTCAGTCTTCAGGCGGTTGCCTGCTTGTTCGAAGGGCCTGATGCTACAGATCTTCAAAGTCCAACCGAGAGGTGGCTTTCAGGGGGCAACCTTGCACACTCTGTCGATGCATTCAGATTTTCTGAGGCAGGGGCTGACTGGAAAGAAAGCCGTGTTGTCCAGCCGTGAAAAATGCTGGTTCACGTCCCGGCTGGTTGGAATTGCAGGGCACGTGCGCACATTACAGCAAAGCACTCGGGCTTGTGAACAGGCCCGTAGTGGTGGCATGTTTCGCATGTTTTTCTCAAGCACCCCTTTTGGCCCATGCCGGGATGACCGCAGTCACAGATAAAAGAGACCAAGATGTTAGACGCAGAATGCTTACAGTAAAGTGGCCCAGAAGACTGCCCTTGCCTGGCAACTCGGCTCGTGTAAGGGTGAATGGTAGTAAAGGTTTGTCTCCTTTGCTTGCTTGCAGGCGTCCAGGGAGACTGCCGACTCCCTGAAGAGCCTTGGACTATTATTCACAGCAAGAATGTAGACGACAGTTTTTAATCCAGTCTGCAGGCCTTGGATGTAGTGTCAAATCTTTGGTCATGATTTGCCGCTTTTGTGTTTTTGTTGTGCTGCAGGCAAGACAATCTTGTGCGGGGAAATCGTAAGGCTTGATCAGTTTTCTTGAGGCCCTTTGAAAAGCAGCGCCAGCGTGGCTAGCCAGACAATCTTGACCACAGGAGCGTGAAAGAGATGATCTCCAATTTGATCACGGCTCTGCGAGAGGTTTGGCAGGGCAACCTCTGAGCATACTATGAGAATCTATACATGAGACCCCAAGTCGTAATCACGTAAACTTGCTTACGAACAGCAAGCACGGAAAGCATTGGGTTAGCAAATCCTGTTACCTTGCAGGTTGGAGTCCCTCTAGATGCCTCTAGGAATTCTTCTAAAGTCCCTCTATATAGGTAAGGCTCCTGCAAGTGCGTGGAATTCCGGGCGTTTGTACCCGGACGGAATACCCAGCAGTGGTCTAGAATGGTTCCCAAAGTTGAAATCTAGCTAGAGTAGACGATGCTGAGGAAGAACAGTTCACGAACATGCATGTATTTGCGTTATGGCATGGCCGATATGATTAGAGAAAGACATGATGTGTAGTGGACTGCCACAGCCAGCAGATCTTTTCATGACAATTCTCGGTGCGCGCGGGTGTGCTTTGATCATTTTAGGTGATTAGATGTGCACAGTATGAGGTCTAAGTAGCCAGTGTTCATGCCCTTCTGAGATTTACTTGGGTTTGGGTGATTGAGGCCCCAGCTTGTGGACTTACTTGCTCAAAGAAACATTCCACTGCCTTGAGATGTTATGCAGGCCATTTTTCAGGCCTGACGGGATGTCGGTATTGCTTTTTGCGCCAGGAGCAGAACGAGGACAAGGAGAAGGGCAAGTTCTGCGTGCGCAGCCTAGAGACCTGCGGCGGCTGATTGCAAGGTACAAAGACCTGTTTGGGGCATGCCACTTTGGCGTGGTCTGTGTCAGGATGAGTACGGCAAGATTCACTGTCAAGCTAGATGTCATGTACTGTCTGTCATGTGCTGCCATTTCCAGGGCTCAACCATGTAAGCCCCTAACAGCAGCGGCCCCTCGGAGCCGTATCGTCCATTGGACGCGTTTCACCCTACAAGAACTGGCCGTTGCCTTGGACTGTTTGACTTGCTGATTGTTGAGGCAAATGTTGTCTTGCGCGGTGTCTTGCGAGATTGCGCCCCGCAAGTTAATAGTTTAGTTGCTGGGGTGTCCCAGTTCAAGCTGCATGCTACTGCGCACAGAGGATAAATTGACGCAAGGATTGTATGCTGTTGGCATGAAGTTCTGGCAGCCGAAGAGCCAGGATTGTTAGGCATCACTTGTGATCATGCAATGCTTTCTGCTCGGAGGTAAGCTGTGCGCAGTTGAGCATTGGGGTTTCGGTGTGGGGCTGTCGGGCAGACTTGAAGTTCCAACGAATAAGACTTGTGGGATCTTCAGATGGCACAGCCGTCCACAGGCCAGCAGGCAAAATGCAGCACCTGGATTCCGACCTCTGGGCCACAGCCCGGTGACCCCTGAAGATTGTCTTCCCTGCTCCCAGGCGTCGGCGCTAAGTTCAACAGACACGATGCACCAGGCAGTGAGGGATTCGTGCTTGGGCTTGCTATGCTTTGCCTGTTGGCGAGGACATGCGGTTGTGCCATCAAAATGAGTGAGTATGCTGTATACCGTATAGCTGGAGTTGCTGAGGTAGGGTTGCTTTGATTGAATGCTTCCGGCATTTGCGTAGTTGGAATGATTTCCAGCAGGTCCGCATCAAACAGCTAAATCTTTACCTCCATGCTGGTGCCCTACCACCGCAAAACCTAGACTTGACTAGGTCGGGTCTAGAGAAACTTGTCTGAGGTTTTGGAGGGATCATGCATGCGAGTGACCTTAGGAAAATCCCCGGGGCCCAGAGAGTCGTCGGGCTAGCGGCTAGAATCACATTCCAACCCTCAAACCCAGAATCCTAGCTTCCCCCAAACCCTCAACCCCATAACCATGACTGTTGTAAATTCTGGCTTGGAGGCCTCCTCAAGCTCCGCATCGCCTCGGCGCTCTCGCTCGCCCACGCAGCTTTCCCGTCATTGTAACTGTAAGGGTTGGCAAAACGTTGGCTGAGGGGGTAAAACGGATTGCGTAGGACGCGTAGGAATGTATATTAGGTAAAGTAATCTACTGTTTAAAAAATCGTGGACATCCGTAATGCGGTGGGCCCTGGTCTCAAGAATACTCATTTTGTGATGCGCAGGGAAGTAGGGGCCTTATGGGTGGTTCTCATATGTAAGTAATGCACGCGTTTGGGGTTGTTGGGCCGGTTCCATTTTGGAAGCCACATGTGCAGGGATTTTTGGGGTGTGTATATATGATAGGGATTTACTTGTATTTGTTTGTACATGCGTTATATATATACATATACATATATTTATATATGTACATGCTACATGCACAAGCGGCGCCTGGTGGGGGTTTCATGCCCATTCTAATGCAGGGACCTGACATAGGGATCTGTAGACATAGTGAGGAATGAAAATGATCTTATTGAGCAGCTTCCCAACAAAATCCAGCAAACATCCCAGGCAGCGGGTGCATCGATGGCCCTCCTACCAGCTGTCGGCAGCACCAGAGGCACATGATTTGGCCAGGGGATTGTTTGTGCATCTCAAAGAAGCCTGATGTTGCCCGTGTGCCGTGTATGTTCAAGCAACCATCTTGTAGATCCTCTGCTCCAAGATCATCCAAGATGGTGCCGCACCAACACAGTTGGTGCTACGAGCCGGAGGAGTCGACTCCGATGCCAGTGATGGCATTTTGCGTGGTCCCCGCGGATCAGATGCAGATGCCTTGCGCCCAGAACATGGGCTTCTATCCAGTCTTGGCAGACCCAACCACAAACTGGTGGCAGCAGCTGCCAGTGCAGCACACACCCCAGATGACCCGAGTGATGGCAATGCAGCACATGCCGGCAGCACCGATGCAGCCGCAGCCGGTGCAGCAGATGCCACAACCTGTGCAGCAGCTGCCTTTGCAGCAGCTGCCCCTGCAGCAACTACATGTACAGCAGCTGCAGCCAAGGCCACAACTGAAATGTCCAGCCTCGGAAGTTCCATTGGATGAGAGCTGGTGCTACGCATGCACGCCCGAGCAGTGCTGCGAAGCTCAAGGCTCCGACGCATCCGTGGCAGAGGTTTCCACAGCCTCGTCGGAGGCATCCCCACGGGTCGAAAAGGCTGAAGACAAATTCCAAAGCCCTGCCCATGCCCAGACCTCGGCCTCGGCGGCCAGGCGCCTTCGCCGAAAGCGCGCCGCAGAGCGCAAGGTCAAGGCGTGCGCTGATTATCTGGCTCACGACTTTGAGTCCAGAAGCTTTCGCTTGGATGATCTCAATGTGGAGCAGGGCTCTGATGTGCAGCAGTTGCTGGGCCATGTCTGGGCGTTGTCTCAGGACAAGGAAGGCTGCCGTTTGGTGCAAATGGCCCTGGAGAAGGCTAGTCGTGAGACGGCCACCATCGCATTGGAGCTGCGCGGCCACATCCTGGAAGCCGTCAAGCATCCCCATGCAAATTACGTTGTCCAGAAGGCTATTGCGCAGCTCTCCGTGGGAAGCTCCGCCTTCATCGTGCAGGAGATCCAGGGTTCTGCCGCTATTGTGGCGAAAAACCGCATGGGCTGCCGCACCTTGTGCCGTCTTCTGGAGTTCTGCAGCACCAGCCCTCAGGTTGGCAACCTCATGGACGAACTGATGCCGGAATTGTCGGACCTGTGTTGCCACTCCTTTGCACATCACGTCATCCAGTCGGTCCTGGAGCATGGTGAAGAGCGGCACAGGCACTTGATTGTCCAGACCCTGCTTGCAGATGTTATGAGCTTCGCCACGCACAAGAACTCCAGCTACCTGATGGAGAAGGCTCTCTCTAGCTGCAGCGCCGTGGATCAGGTAGCCATAATCCACGCCTTAAACCTCAAGCGCCTGCTTGAGTTGGCGAAGACTCAGTACGGCCGACATGTGGCGAAGACAGTGCTGCAGGAGTGGGGCTGGTATGCAGCCTGGGGGGCTGAGGGACTCGAACGGCTCATCCAACCCTGGAAACCTGAGCTCGAGGAAGATCGCTTCGGCTTGCTGTTCCTCAAGGACATGGCCAAGTCCTGATGCCGTAGTTAGCGTGCGCCTAGCGAATTCAAGTCGTGATCTCCTGCCCATGGTGGCGTCAATGAGCTGTCATTCGTTAAAATCCCAGTGAGCGGTTGGCTCCGCAATTTGCCACACTTTAAGCGCTTACGCGAAAGAAGTCACAGTATGGCGTTCGAATCGTTCGGACGTCCAAGCCTTTGGACTCAGTGCCGGATATTATTGCCAGCAAGAGCCAGCAGCAGATAAGACAAGAAGTCATGCAGAGGCCTATTGAAAGACAGCAAAGTTTGTCACAACATTGCAGCAGTCACATTTGGAACCACAAACATAATATCGTCGGGATGCTTGACAAGGGTGATAACAACGCTGTACTTGTAGCATGGATATATGCTCAGGTCTCAAAATATTCGTAGGGTTCCGCGTATGGACTGGAACAGTCGTATGCCCGGCACAATTAAAAGTTGACTCCCTTCCCCCCAACTTGTGACATTCGTATACCACATATAACCCCTATGAATCCACTTTCCGTATTGTTTCCCATTCTATTTGTCAATTGATTCCCCATCATTGCAGAATATAAATGCTCTGAAACTCCGAGCATCTCATACACGAGAGAAGAAGCCTTTTCTTGCGCAGTCGGATCCCAAAGCCGGCCTCGAGAACGGCTCCTTGGAACCCCAGTGGTGGCTCTCAGAAGTCGACGGAGCAGCTGGGCATCATTGGACAGGGGCAGAAACTGAAAAGGGTTCAGTAATCCTAACTCCCCAAACTGGACAGAGTCAAGATAAAACGTCTAGGAGAGGTCTTCCTAGCTCTGCCACAGTTTTAGCAGTTTCAATGCTTGTTTTGGCAAGGCGGCGGGTTGCCGTTTGTCGCTTTGCACCTGCCATGGCAAAGGTACGGGTAGGCGACCATGAGCTGCTCCAAGTATTGGGGGAAGGCCGACATGTAGCTGTGAAGTCCACACAACCTGTTGGATGCCCTGCATGATGCGACATGTGCCAACCAATTCCAAAGCATGGTCCCTTGGTAGGCACCCATGGCAAAGTCTACAAGGTTGCAGATCCAATCATCGGCGGCTTCAACGCGGTCAAGGTTATAAGGCGGTCTCTAGCTCCACTTGCGCTTTGATTCTAAGACCTTGCCAAATATCCCAATTCCATGAAGTGGCCCTTGGTCAGGAAGACCCGCAAGAACGCAGAGGAGCTGAGCGGCGTGGCGGGCGAGTGCAACACTCTGGCATGGCTTAAGCATCCCAACATTGTCCAGCCACCAGGCGGCATGACGCGTTTGGCGATACCCCGCTTCTATGTATGCAAAATTGCATGGGATGCTCAGGTTGCGAGGAGTTGTGAATGCGTGCAAGAACTTCTATGTGTTTATGGAGTTTGCTGGCAACATCTCACTTCACAAGCTCCTCCAGAGCAGGCGCGTCCAGGCAGTTGCAAGTCAGGAGCGCGTCCGCTCCTGGCAGTCTCTGCCGGTAGCTTGTTGACTCACCGAAGCAGGAACTGGACTCAGGCTGTTGCAGTCACTTTCCTGTTCTGTATCGCCTTCATGCTAGGGACAACCAATCCGGACTTGACTTGCCGATGGCGCGGCAACTCTTCCATGAGCGGTCTGATCTCATTTTAGAGTTTTTTGCAAGCTTTTGCTTTACTTGGTTTAAGTCCCTTTTTTGTAGCCACTGTTGAGAGCTAGTTTTGGCGGGATGTCCACACAGGTTTGGGTCTTACAGGTAAAACAAAAAAACGTAGGAAACTTGCTTGTGCACGCAGAACTTCCTGGCAGCTTTATTTAAGGATTTTTTGTCGCAGCCCAGACGCCTAAACAAGGATAGCTGATGCCGTGGCATATTGCCATGGGCATGGCCTTGCTCATTGTGTCCCTTATCAGGGTTGGTTTTGGCAAAGGACGGACAGCTCCTTCCGTAGCTTTGTCAGCCGGGATTATTAGGAGGGCATAGCTCCCATAGATGCGACCAGGATCTAGGCAGCTGTCAGTCCTTTGCTGTTGAGTCATGAACATTTGGTATACTTCACTACTCATTTTTTTGCTGTACTGCGTTTTAGTTGGCACTAGTGTTGTTGTGACCGTTTCTGGCAGGATTTATTGACTGACACATGCCCAGGACCTGAAACCGCAGAATATTGTCATCTCGGATGACGGAACTCCAAAGAATCTTGTTCCTTCCAGCTTCATGAAGTTTAGCAGTCATGTCTACAGGTATGTTTTCATGTGTAGCAATACCTGACGCGGCAAAGTCACTTTGTTTTCTCAACGCTTACTTCTCCAAGAGCTGGCATTGAAATGCTTTGTATCGTGAATTCCTCTACATATCAAGTCTGGTACTGGAGAAGTAAGTGCCCGAGGTGTCCTGCCAGGTGCACAAACCCAACCTAAGGCCCCCTATCTGCGCATCTAAGTGTGCTGCAATCCATTGCTGCAAGTCTTCGGTCAGCTGTTGGTGGTCTACGTTTTCTTGAGGGTCGTCCTATCAGGGTCGCTATAGAAGCACTTCTGGTCTTTGACGTTGTAGCATCTGAAAGAGTATCCGGAAGATGCCTGCGGCCTGGAAGCTTTGGATCTTTCTCATGTGACGTGTTGAAGTGCCAGCGACAGCCACGTGCCATAAGACCCAGGATTGTAGATTTCGGTTTGGCGTTGAAGCTCGGTTGGCCAGTAGGCTGGTCCTGAACTTACCTTGTCATGAGCAGTGCTGACTTGCCTCACGCAATCATTTGAACATGTGTGCGGGCTTGTCAGAGTGCCTGAGCACTAAGTGCACTGAGTGCATCAGGGATTTTTGCTCCAGCCTCAGCTTGGTCCGGCGTGAAGATCCCAACGCAGCACCCAAGCACCCTGAACATCCTCTTTCCGCGTCCCCCTGCCAGGCAACCCGCGCGGCACCTGGCCTTTCACAGCGCCAGAGGCTGCATGGCCGTGTGGGAGGCCATGGGATCTTGCCAAGGCGGATGTGGCCAGGCCGCATAATGCTTGGCGTTCTTTGGGGTAGATTTCATTCTTAGGGGCAAACCAGAATAACTGGAAGTAGTTTTGCTCTTATGCCGAGGAGTATATTGACAAGAGCCTAGCTCTTCGTCTCGGTCTGAAGGTCTGAGCTTGCGTACACCTTACGTCGCCTGCATAGGAGTTCATGGGAAGACTGCACAAAGTCATCTTTCAAAACTTGCGGTCGTAGGGTGCAGGCCATCCCCTTTGAGAAACATCCGTGGGACGGGGTGGATTAATCAGCAAGCCGCGCTTGGGCAGAAGAGACTTCACAGGACAGCCCCCAACGCCGCAGCTCCTTAGGGCCACATGTCTCTTTCCTTGATTCCGGCATCAGGCTCTGGAGCAACCAGCCACCGATGATGAATCATGATTCGTGTGGGGTGACCGAAATAAACCCGTGATGCGCTGGGGGGGGGCCTTAATTGTGTCAAGTTGCGCGAGCTAAAGTGTTCTGTTAGGTTGCGGGCCTATGGATCTTCAATTTTAAGCCGTTTTTGCCCCCTCACCTTAGCGTTGGAGCCCAGCGGTTGGTTCTCTTCAACTTAATACAAGCCTATGGCTCACATTTGTTTGGGCGGGCTCCTCCCCCCTGCAAGGAAGAGGTGGCTTCATTTTTTAGGAGGAGAACGCTCATCAGTACCCAACATTAAGCTAAAAAACCAGCTGAGCTCAGACCCTCCCAGACCACAGCACGATACGGTTGCTGGTTCCGATCACAGGGACCTGGGGGAGTTGTTGGTGATAAGGATGTAAGGGGTCGATGACTCCCGAACTCAGTAATCCCAATATTGTGGTAGTCTCAGGTCTTCTCCTTGGGAGCGATTCTCGTTGAGATGCTGTGCGGTACGGACAAGCCCCTTGATCCAGCTTGCAACGTGAAAGCTCAAATGACGATCGCAATGACAGACTTCGAAGCAGTAGGATCATGAGTTGAAAAGAGCAGCTCCACGAAGTGAAATTCAAAACTATGAAGATGCACATTGTTGCAAGGCTCTTCCGCATGTTCGGCTGGATGGCGCAGACGCCTTTGAATCTGCTCCGTGTCCAAGAGATGGTGACATTTCTGGCCACTCCCGGAGCCTTGATGAGCAGTTTGGCGACTGACATCGGAGCTGGCCCCAGTTGACCAGTCGAGGGTGCTTGCAGATGCTGCTTCCAGACTTTGACTTGCCATAACATTACTTCCAGCTAACCAGAATCCCCGCACACGTTCAGCCACGCGTCCAGACAAGACTTAGGTCTGGCTGCGGCAAATCCGGCCCAGATGATCACAGGCGTTCTGCGTGGGGGTTAGAATGGGCTTCATCCAGCTAACAACCGTCAGGCTAAGTCAGGCTAAGGATGCATCGCCCAGTTTGCTCCCTGCTTGACCTTCCTGTTGATCTTCTGTGCAGGCATGATGAACGTGGTTCCCATGAAGCGATGGAGCGCAAAAGTTGCTGCATCGTTCAATTGGTGATACCCTGCGATACCCGGGGAGTTCAGAGCCGGACGCTGATGTGGACAGCAAGTGCCCGGTGGCCAGGGGACTTCGCAGGCCGAGACCGGATCATCCCGTTGCCGGCTTGTGAGAAGGGGAGGAAGAGGCCAATTCTTATGCACTTGGCACCCAGCGCGCCTGGAACACGACGGTTGCTGAGATGGTAACCTCGACAGGTGCAGGCGTTGAAGGATTCTGTCGAGGGCATGACACGACATAATTCAGAAGGAAGGAGCATGTTTCTAAGTCAACTTTATCGGACGCCGCACCTGGAATACCCTATCTGTTCCAGGCTGCAGCAGGGCTGCCTATCTAGGGTCGTTGACTTGACCGTGCGTGAGACAGAGACGTGGGCTCCAAATTGGCACGGCGCAGGGTTGGCTTGATTAAAAGCAATGTAGAAAGTCCAGGAAAAGGGCGGCCCTATTTTGCAGATTCACTGTAAAACGACAAGGAATCATAAAGAACGATCAGGTTTAGTTCATCATATTTGCAGGATTAGCATCTGGATTAAGGAGCATCCACTGTAAAAAGACGAGAGCACAAGCCCAGGTCTTGTTCAGGGGAAGCACAGATCAGAATTGGTCTGCCTGCGTCTCTCTCAAGTAAATGTACTTCGGCACGGCTTTGTAAATTTGACTTTCTGCCGCATCAAGTTCTTTTCTCGGAGCGAGTTGGGGTCATTCAGCGTAAGGTTGCATGAAGCCACCTGTAGCACATGGCATCCCGGCCAACGGCTCCAGCATGTGCTTATTTATTCTCTTTGGCCGGCATGCATCTTCTTGTAGATTCACGTAGGATCAGAAGTACATAGTCTAGTTGTCCAGGATTGCCCCTCGGATATTGTGTTCAATTTTGCGGCAGTTCATAGCTGCGCGGCATGAATCGATCTTTCAGGGGAGCTGGCACTGAGAGGCCGTGAAAATGGAGGACTCAGATGCTGGACTCCCCATCACATAGCGCCAAGAACTGCTGGAGGACTGAGCCAAAGTAGATGATCATGATTGGCACGGTCGACACAAGCTTGCATTTTTTTAAGTTGAACCGCTCAGTCCATCTATCAGTCCAGCGCACTAAATATCGCCTCATACACTTCGGTCTCCCGCAGAGGCATTTAGCATCATTTAGCTTTACTTTTTGATTACATTTGGAGTGCAGTTTGGGCAGATCCTCTGGGCTTTACTTGAGGCTTGCAAAACCAGTCTGGTGAGGTCTGCTGTGCTTCATTGGCTTGCTGGCTGCGCGAATAAGATCAGCCAATTTCTGGCCACTATTGCTTGGGGTTGTCCTCGGGGTTTTGGTTGGGTGCGATAGACACCGAACAGCCCGGACTTTCAGCAGCAGTTTCTGGCCCTAAGAGAGACCGAAGTGGCACCTAAGGGTTGCTGTACGTCTTGGCACAGACCAGGACCTGCCGAAGTGTGGCGATTCCTGGGCTAAGGTTCAAGGCTTCAGAACAGTAGGCCAATAACAGCTCAGCGGAGTAAAATCAGCTGGGGCGCCAGGGATGAAGCACTGCATCTCATATAGAGGAAGCACAAACAGTTACGTAGTTTTTTTTGCCACGCTTTGCCTGATGCCTGTGGAACTCCTCTGTCACAAGTCAGTATCTTGCGGTTTGAGATTTGTGCAAGGAAGCTGGCTGCTAAACAGAAAAAGGCGTAGCACGTGTTCAGACTTGAATGGTCGCTCTGGCGACAAGAATGGCTTAGTTGCGTAGCTTCACGCTCTTGAAATTTGCTGTTTGTTACAACTTGGTCAGCAACCGTTCTTTTGCGCACACATGCCTGCATAAGTACTGCGCCCCATGCATATCCCTACGTGGTAAGCCAACACCGAGGAAGAGCAGCAGAAGAAGGCCCGTGAAGGCTTCAAAAAGCTTTCGGCTGCCACGGAGGCCGCATCACGTTCAAAACAATGTATCAGCGGCAACACGCATTGATAAGCATAGTTATCTGCATTGATAAGAACACGTATGTAGAGGATGTAGCAGCAGAGCCACTTCATCAGAAGGTGATGTGCTCCCGCCAAAGGCAAAGAGCGCGGTAGCTCACGAGAAACAACAGTCGGGAAGTCTTAAGGGAATGCAATTGACATCAAATTAGTATGCAACCTCAGAGGTCGGCGTTTTCTGAGGGATGCCACTGGAAGAACTTGCTTCTCAAGCGTGAAATATGCTCCACTCAAATGTACCCCATCCAGAAGAAACAGAAGTCTTCTGAGACAGTGAAACCTGCAGGTTAAGATTTGCAGTGGAGCAACTCCCAATGCGGCAGGACGCGGAACAAGCGAAGCGCTGGGCAGAGAACGCCGTACTTGACTTGCAGGTGTGGGACTGGGGTTCCAATATTCCCTGAGAAAGGAAATACGGATGACAGTTCAGGGTCTACTGTAGCAGAGCAACTGTGCCTCCCTTCAGCAGTTCATAAGTTCGAGAGCTCATCTTTGGTTGCGCAGTCGCAGTGGGCTCGGGAGGCCCAAAGCCGCTTCCTCGAGGCGGACGTGAGCCGCCTGAAGCAGTGCAGCGCCTAGCAGCAGACATTTGTGCAGCGGAGCTGCTCCTTGCCATCGCTATCTCGTGCATCAGTGCCTCGCATTGCCTTGAGCTCATTCGCTCGGGCTGAGGGCGGTGGCCTCTGCCAAATCGGACCTTGACGCGGAAGTCGCCCGCATCAAGGAGGAGGCTGGCACTGAGAGGATTTGCAATTTAAGTTGTTGATGGCCTCTACGCCTCAAACCTGGAGGGTCAAAGCCGCTAATCCACAAATTCCACAGGGTGGTTTGCGCGGATTTGAGACGCGTTCCAGTCAACCTCCCAGCCCCTATGCCCACATTTGGTGCTTCACTGTTTTAGTTATAGAAAATGGCGCCCAACCGGTCGTGCCACTCAGGTGTTGCGCGTCAGATTTGAGCAGCTTTGAAGCTGTAGCTGTTGCAAGCTCCCAGGCGGAGAACCACGCTGCCGGCAAGGAGGTCCTCACCAAGAGCCGTGACGTGGGAACCTTCAACATGTTGGTCTGGCAACAGCATGAAACAGCCCTTTTCTGTAAGCAGAAGCCTAACGATGCAGACATCGCCCAAAAAGACAAGCCAATGATGCCCATACGGAAGCGATCCGCGACTTGGGTTGACCAAGGTGCTCAAGAAGCACTGCAAGCTGTCGAACACCGAGAAGAACGCAAGCCTGTCGCAGTTTCCAATGACTTCTTGCAGAGAACCTTTACGGGGTTGGCACGTGCGGAAGTCCATGCATTTGGGCTACAAGATTCCCCTAAACGTACGATGCAACCTCTCCAAACCTGCACGCTGAAGTCCAAAGACATCCAGAGACAAGACCCCTCAGCAGAAGCCATGCCATGTACCTGCTGGTAACAAGCAGTTGGTCCTTTGAGAATCCAAGACTTTGGCGCGGGATCTATGCGAATGAAGAAGATGAGTTGGAAGTGAGCCCCGGGCTGTGGATCTTTTTCTTGATGCACGATTTCGTCTTTGAAGACTAAAAGGGCGCATGGCGATGTTCAGTTAAGGGGTTCACATCATGCTGATAGATCTTTTAAGGGGACTGGCAAAAGGCCTGTCAAAGGCAACCCCTGTGCGAGCTTCACTGAATGGAAACTCATGCCGCACTCATGCCTGCTTTGCCCGCCAGTCGGGTACCTGCGGTGAAGCTGATTCTGCGCTGAACATAGCCAATTTGGGTCTGGCGAAGCTTGACAAGGCGCAAAATGTCCTCAGTTATCGAGAGCTGCTTGGGCTTGCGGAGTTTGAGGCTTGGGATTTGGAGGAAGGCTCTTATTCTGCTCGTAAATCGTTTCGCCCGAAAGGGTGCAGGTGCGATCTGAGTATGGACCCAGCTTCCGGAGGTGTCGCAAGTGCAGTGTAGCAAGTGAAGCTGCGTAGTTCTCTGTCCAATAGTCTGCAAGAACCTGTCTGGATCTTCGTGAGGATGATGGCCAGCCAGCCTGGGTATCCTTTCCACTGATGAGCTCGCTCTGCAGACATTCTATAAGTATTTGTTCTTGGCGACGTGGAATTTTCGGTGAATGTCCTTATTCGCAGTGTGCCGGCAGAACTCCAGCAAGTTCCCAACAACTCCAAATCAGTCGAGCTTCCACGTGTCTTCCGGAATCTAGGCGCCGCGCCTTAAATTTCTGGCGCTTGAGGAGTCTAAGCAGCAAACGACAAGGATCCTTCATCTTGCCACAGCTGTTCTACTGCGGTTAATTAATCCACGCCTACTGTCCTTAAATCTGCAACGGGAATAGGATGTGAAGGACACCAAGAAAGAGCCGCAAACTGCCTGCTTGACAGTTCCTTGCGACTTACATCGTGGACTTCACGAAGCTTACCGAGGAGCAGAAGGCTGGAGATGCTGCCAAACAAGCGTGGCATTAGAAGAGAAAACGGAAACCACTACAGTACATTGGGGCCATATAGGGATAATGGAAAAGAAAAAGCAAAGCACTATAGTAGTCCCTGTATACTACGAAACTTTTCTTAGTGAGGCAGACGTGGAGAAGACCCTGAAGCTGCAGGGCGACAGTCTCTTTCAAGCCAATGCGGACTTGAACAGGCTGGGATGCGATCCGCCACCTCTTCTCTAAGATGCAAGTGTGACTAGTAGAGGTCTTCGAAAATGCCCAAAAACACAACACCCTGCCACGCTGCAGGGGACGCCCCAAAACGTGAAGCCAGAGCTTTCAAAGCCTTCCACACTCTCCTCACAGAGGCAAGAGCAGTACAGCAGGAGGTATGTTGGGACCTCCACAACTCGATTCGTAGTCTTCCACCTCGCAGCGTTCAGACAATCAAGCTCTAGAATCTAGAACGTTCTTAATACGTCCATGAATGGATGTGACCACAGGGCCATCAGAGTCATCATAAACAAATACAGTACTGATAGCAACAAGCGCCAGCCTTTTTGGCAACGTTGTTATTAAACGTTCTTATCAGCATCCCACCCTCGTGAAAGGGCTTGGGCCTTTGCAGGCGCAAGGATGAGCTGGCAGAATTGGCCTCTGTGCTTTCCTCATCATTGGGGTCCTTATTCAATTGCGGGGCTAAGCACCAAAATTCGTCATGCCAGGGAGGTTATGGAGAAGTGTCTCAGCGCGTCAGAATAGTCTGGACGCTTCTAATCCTTGGGGATGCCAATTTGGGAGAAGCTTGAGATCCTGTCACCCAGGATGTGGTTACTGCCAAGGAGAACATGAGACTTGCCGGCAAGGCAAGGACTTGAAAATGACTGGATAGGTTACTCAGATGTTTGGTGAGATTGTGATATCATAGACCCCAATGTTGTGGCTACAGTCAAGAGTCCCTTTGTTCCATGTTCATCCTGATCCCTCGAGGGGTGGTGAAGTTGGGCGCTTGAGGGCAGTTGCTTGTCGAATGGTCATGTTTGTTGCTACTGGGGCGGGGTTCAAATGAAGATTTGAGACTTGCCCTGCTTGTCTTTTCAGTGATCCTATCTATGGTTGGATGAAGGAAGATTGAAATCAAGAAGCAGATTGCCGTTGACTCGTCATACTGAATTCATTACACCCGTTGGTGCAGGCTCATGTCCTCCCCTTTCAGCCAAATTTACTGCACGCAGGCAGATGATGCTCTCTCCACAAGTTGTGGGCCAAAGGCCTCATCGATGGAGGCGGTCAAGCCAGGGCTCAAATGGTAAAGTGATGTGAGAAGGTAATGAATGGGTTCTGTGCGCAATTCATGTAGACTTCAGCTTGTATAGAGCTATCGGAATCAAAGAAGTTGGGTACCTCTGAAGCGTCCACGTGCTATTATGTAGTGTCCAGCTTGCCACCAAACTGGTCTAATCTTCTTTGGCATTTAGTAGGGCTGAGCATTCTCCCAAAAAGCTTGCTTGTCGACTTCAGTGTAAAGGTCAGTCACGAGCAAGTGACGTTTAGCCGAGTTGGTGGGGATGAGAGCGTTGTAAGACATGTTGATCTATTTGGAACTCTTGGGTTTGACACCTGAAGCTCGCAACCTCTTACCCTGTGGCTCTCAGGACACCATTGCCCGGCGGAAGGAGGAGATCGAACAGCTAAAGAACGTCCCTTGCCTGCAGAGACCGCCAGCAGATCTTCTTAAAGTGTCGCTGTTGTTTCACGGTTGGCTATAGTCAGAATGAAATTGCTGAAGGCACTTGAGATTCGCATGATCTGCAAATGGCGGCTGAAAGAATACGACAAGCCACATATGCTGACTTACTGCAACAACGGTCTCTATCAAACATCGGTCCAGCGCCCAAAGTGTCTCATCAAACTGACCCTTTCCTGCGCAGCTTCAAATCCCACATTCTAACCTTCAACCCACAAATTAATCATTTGCATTCTCAATCCCGAAAAAAAAGCATCCCAGAGCAGAAATCGTGAGCCTCATGCCTTGAACGCCAGACATGCGATGAATTTTTATCTGCTGCATCTCAGACCTAGATCCTTTCAGCCCCAATTCTCTTACCTTGTCAAGTGGCTGAGGCTGTGAAAGTCCTGGATGGCGAGGCCCTGGCTTAGCTATTATAATTGAGGTCCCCAATATGAGACAGACATCATCATGTCACGCGCGGCAGTGTTGCCTCGAACGCGTAGTCGGACAGTGGCTTCAAGTCCGAATTCGACTCCCCAACCAGCCAGCAGTGCAGGTCAGACTGGCTGCTTACTTTGGATTTCACCCAATTTTCTGCCCGTGTGCGAGGCTTTCGTGTGAGCAGCTCCCTGCGTTGGCTGTGTCACCGAGCTCGCTCTCAACGCATCTTGTGACAAAGGGAGATGGCATGCATCTGAACATATCTGAACAGAACAGGGGCAATATGCTCCCATCAAGATTTGGATAATCCAGACTCTGCAAGCGGAAGCTGGGCAGCAGCCTCGAGCCTGCATGTTTGGCATGTGCGTGACTGGCTCGAGTGCCCATCAAATGGAATTGCAAATGCGACCATGCGTGTTGTGCTCAGGTAGCTGCGTTTCCATCAGCGACCAGGAGGGATGAAAGTGAAGCCCGATGTACGAAGGAGGAGGTAATTGCATAGAGGTATGACGTCCAATCTCAGCTCAGCTACGCCTCTGCCCTGTATCCTGCTGTTCGGCAGCCATGACGGGGCCCATGCGGTCCTGTCCTGTTTGCTCTGCACCAGTCCCGGCACGAATAATCATGCAGTATCCTGCTTACATCCGCTTACCACTCGCACTCTGGAGCTCGGGGTACACTTGCTTTCAGCCAGGAACGCCAAACAGTTGCAGTGCCTCATTTGCAGTGGCAAAAGCCGTTTGCAGTTCTCGTGCCAGGAGCACCAGTTCAAAGTCGCTCTTTGGTGTCCAGGGCTTGGCGGAGGCTGTATCTTGTCTGAAGCCGAGGGTGAGCTGCTTGATACAAGCTAAGGCCCTGCAAAAAAAAGCTGATTTCGCAGCGCAAGCCTGAGGGGGTCAGCGAAAGAAACCTGCGGTGGGCGCATGCTTGCTCCCACCATAAGCAAGCTTCTGTGCATTGGTCAATAATCTCCGGATATTAATGATCAAAAGCGGTTACCTGCCTTCTTCTCGTGCCTGCTTTAGGAAGTGGCCGTCTTTTGGTGATTACTTGAAGTCCACACAGAAGGCTGTGAAGCCGCTGATCACTCGAGAGACCGTGCGGTCCTCACTTTTTCCAGATGAAGAGAAGTCAGAGATGCCAGACATCCTTGATCAAGGCAGTCCAGGTATCTGTTTCTGCGGTCTCGGCTCTGGTTGTAGTAGGAGGCGATGGACACGATTGAAGAGGTGACAAGCAGTGGTTGTTTGCAGAACTGTTCCCAGCCCACTTGAGTTTTCATCGGACAGGCAGGTTGTGAAGGACTAGGGAGAGTCGCCACACATCTAGCGCACTGTTGTTTTTTTGGGGGGACGTAGTTGAAGGTCCTCACATTCAACTAGCAAGGCTGCGGCTTGCGACATCTTTTACAACTTGAAGTGCGGCCCCCAGTGGTGGAGACAAGCCTTTGGGCACATCTCAAATTCTGGATAAAGCCATGTTGGATGCCCTTGCATGTCCAGCCACAAGAGTGATGCACAGGAAGTCTGTTCAAAGCTGCAAGGCAGCATGAGCTTGCAGCAACTGCCTGGGTAAGGCCTCTTTTCTGGGCTTTGAGCTATGGCGCTGAAGCACAGGCAGCCGCTCCTTCAGCAGTCCTATAGGACCTTGTCTCTGTGCCTGGGCAAAGCGAGCTCGCAGGTGCTCAAGGCTCTCCTGGAGGCACACCCAGAGGCAGCCAAAGAGAAGCACCCCATCGAGGCTGGGACCAGTCATATAGATCCGAGGGCTGCGGATGACGAACCTCCCCCTCTATGCTCACATCAACAGGGCTCCTCTTCATGGTCGCTTGGCTCCTGCGCAAAGTTTTCGGTCCACAGCTGCATGCTTCTGGGTTGGCTGAGCTGTTGATTCTCAGCTCCTAGCAATAATGTTCCATCGGAACACAGGAAAAAGCCGAGTGTATCTATTGTGGGGCACAACGCTCTCATTCATTGTTTTGGGAAGGCCGCGGCAGCTTCGTGAATGCAAACACGCATTAAGAAACCCCACCAAATGCCCCAGAATAGCAGACAATTGTGCACTGAAAGGGGTGGACCCCGCTGCACTATGTCGAGAAGTTGAGCCTCGAAGCTGTGCAACTGCTCGTGGCCCGGGCCGTAGCCACGCGCAAGTGCATGATTGTACTGGCACTGGAGCCGAGTCAACGAGCGATTTCCCCCCTTCCATGAGATGACGCCTTTCAGCTGAGACAGGGTGCTAACCAGAACAAGGTTTGTGGAACAGTGTCAGGACAACCTTTCAGCTAGATAATATTGCTGTGATTTGCTGGTGAGCTTAGATGGGACTTCGCACGGTTGTGGGCTTGAAGGGCTGATGGGGGCTGCGTAGTCTTTGCGCTTAGCTTGTCTAGTTCACTTAAGTCTTTTGTATTTGTAGACCAGCTAAAGACTTGGCACTTCTTGTCTGCATGGGGGGGACAGGAGATGTAAGAAGTTCAGGAAGTGATGATCAGGGAGTTCAGCTCGTCCAGTGCTTGCTTCCTCTTTGCGGAGTCCTGTACTCTGCCCCATCCAGCGGAGTGTGTAGATCCATTTGAGATTTGATTGGGAGCTAGAGGGGCCTGGTAGGGCTGTTAGGGGTCTTTGGGGTACCCTGCGCGAAGCTTCAGGCTGTCTTCGGGAGGGCAGTGCCTAGGCAAAGTGTCCCGAAGCAGCGCACGAAGCAGATCGCGAGGGGGCGCTACCCCTGCATTGGGCTGCGTCCCTAGACAAGGGGGGGCTTCTTGCGACTTATGGGGGCCTTAACTGAACCAGAGGAAGGCACCTACCAGTAGCATGTTGAAAAAAGCGTGTGAGGACGGTCCCACTGCTGTTGTTTCCTTCAAAATGACTCGCTTTGCAGATCTTCAACGCGGCGGGTCGGGATAACAAATTCCTGATGTTGCTGGACCCCCCAGCTGGTCTGCAGTCTGCAATGGCTTAGGAAAATTTGCTGAAGTCCAGATTTTTGTGACAGACTATCTGACAGACTATCTGACTATCTGAAGCATGTCAACACAACCCAGGTGTGTGCGTGTGTCAGAAATCCTGTATTGGGGCCGGACTTACTATACAGCATCATCAAATTCTTGAGAAGACTGGATAAAAGGAAGCTGCAAGCTTCGTTGCTTGGACTCCCACCCAGATCAAAGATCCTGGAATTGAGCTGAGAAAGTCCAAAACACATATTTCAATTTGTTGTTCTTAGTTGACAAGGGTTTCCTCTACGTGCTCACAACAGCACAGCAAGGATCTTTGCCGTACAAGCCAGAAAAGTGCCATGCTTGTGAGACTTCCCCGGCAACATGGACAGCTTATGCCAGCTTTGAGGCTGCGGAGCACAATGCTCCCAAAGAAGTCTTGCAGCTGCTTCTGCAGGCCCTGATGCCACGGTATGCCACGGTGCTTGCTTCCCCGCTGCCACCATTATCATCAGTCTTCATGCAAGCACAGGCCAACGGAGCAGCAGCCCAGCGACGAGACGGCTCCGGACGCCTTCCAGCAGCTTTAGCAGAGGGAGCCGGAGCGCCCCAGGTGGGTTGCGGGATGGCAAGGGCTAAATGGGTGTTCGGAAGGATGCTAGGGCCGCTAGGAGGCATGAAGACGTTGAAGCATTGTGCTTTCACTGCCTGCTTGATGAAGGCTTGCTTCTGCGCCAGGGGTTGAGGTACCAGTCTCGAGGTGTGCCAGCACTTATTTTTGTATAATGGTTAATGGTTGAAGCGATGGAGATGTTTCACGCAGCGAGGGCGCAGGGTTAATACATCCACTGGCAATCGACAATCTGGCGTCCGGCTGGCGTCGCAGAACCGAAACATAGCCCACTCACAGATGCAACAACGTGAATTAGGCCTTTGATTCCAGTAGCTGCTGGCTCTTCGCAGCTTTTTGCTCTTCAGCTTGTGCTTCGTCAACAGAGTCTTTGGTAACGTGCGTCTTGTCATTGTTGTTCATCAAGGTTTCATGCCCGGCTTCACTATAGTTGCACTTCTGTAAGCAGATGTACACTTAAAGTGTCAGCGCTCAAGATCATTGTGATAAGTCTATAATGTTGGGTTGGACCAACTTGGTACTGTAACCTCATGTAACTTCCTTGACATGTAGCTTTCCGCCGCAAGCCGTAGATGGTATACGGAGAATGCCCAAGTCCGAAGGCAAGAGCCACGCAGCCAGCGAGTTGCAGCTTGGCCTCAAGGACTCCAGCTTGGGACCCTATGACCTCGAGTGGCTGCTTCCGAGAGTTGCGGACTTCGGCACTGAAGCCCCGGCTGTGCAGGCCGAGTGGAAGGCTGATGCGGCACCGCCTCCACTGCAGCTGCTGATACCTGAAATGATTTCTCTGGAAAGGCAGATTCCTCAGATCCTTTTCTTCACCGACTGCGCAGGCTTTTTGAGGGCCGCGCGGCGGCCAATGAAGAAGGAGCCTCACATAGTCTTCAACTGCATCGTCGACCTCAGCAAGTCACGGCAGCAGATGGACTGGAACAACTACCGTGAGGTGGAATCGCAGCTTGAGAAGCTTGAGCGGACCGAGCGCCTGGAGATCCCAAGCTCCCGGCGAGGTAGCCGAAGCAGCAGGGGTGACAGGAGCGACACAGACTTCAAAGGCCCCAAGAAGCCAGATAAGAAACATGTATCAATGGCGAAGGCCTCGGTAGTGAAGTCGCCGCTGGCCTTGCGAAAGACCCACTGGAGGTTTTGGGCTGGTGGTGCGGAGCGGTTGCTGGACACTGATCAGGTTGGCAGTTGCTTCGATGGTAGCCGTGAGTGGCCGATGGGCGTCACGCTGCTGCAGGCCAGCTTCTGGACGGGCCAAGCAACGCCCAGAACGAAGTTCATCACCTATCACTACAATGCTCTCCAAACCGAAGCTGCAGGAGCTGTGCACCACAGGCTTGCGGACATCATTGACAACCACTTCGAAAGATACACATTTCTAGAGTCTGTCAGAGATCGGAATAGGATGTCAGCAGTGCCGACGCAGCTCGCCCAGCACCTCAGCTACTACTGCAACATGGAGCTGGTGTCGGGAGAATTCATCTTCTACAAGGACCGGAAATCACAGCTTTGGCTGGCCGACGCACAGAGCCTGATGTTCGTGCCCAGCGTCAGCCGATCCGCCAATGCGTCCAAGGGCGGAGCTGGGGCGCAGGAGGCCCTGCCGCAGAAGATGTTCAGGTACCTTTCTGAGGAGGCCCTGCAAAATCTGATGATAGATGAGCGAGAAGGGCCAAAGTACGAGCGGATGTTTGAGCTGATGATGCATGACTACCAGGCCATGAAGGAAAAGTTCGGTGTCGACAGTATGCTGCGGAAGGTGCAGCAGGAACTGGATGTTAACGTGCCGGTTCTGGAAGGTACGGATGTGGAAGCCTTGAGCCGCGCCTTCGACATCAAGCCCGAACACTTGGGAGCCACCGCGCAGGCAGCGCCAAAGCGGCACTTTTGCGTTCCTCCAAAGGTGCAGTCTCACGTGGGGAAATGCAGGTGGTTTTCCCGCTCTGCCGGGAGCCAGGTGCGCGCTGCAGCACAGAAAGTCCACCGCCACAACAGCCACATGCAGGCCATCATTGACAAAGGCCGAGAAGCCGCATGGCAAGACCCAGGCCCCTCCATCAGCGCAGTGGCAGTGGCCAGTTCATACACGGATACCGGAGAGATTTCACCTCGAGCTACTACAAGCAGAGCTGCAACTGACACTTTCAGACCCCATGGTAGCAAGCGCTCAGTCAGGTCGAAGTTCTCTCAGTCTGAGGCAAAGACTGGAAAGACGTCCAAGATTGAAATCGTCACCACTGCCGTCGCCCAGGAGCTCCTTGTCGGCGCCGGCACCGGTGTCTGCCCAGAAGGTGATACGATGGACATGCTACGGCCATCCATCAGCAAACCTGGCCAAGGCCTGCGCATGACACGCAAGGCAGCGGTGCCTACGGCGCGGGCCGCCTCCAGCTTCAATAAAGGGATCCTCTTGACTCTGAAGCTTTTCATGCCAATTTTTGGGGTCAGGGCCAAGATCCTCTTGAATGATAAATCCCATGACCCTATGGTTCCGATCCAAGGTTGTGGTTCCCGAGGGTGCTGCTCTTCAAGCTATGGCTCGATTGAAGGCACCTGGTCCGCAAGCCAGATGTGCCAAAGATAGAAACTCTGTTAGCGCTCCCAAGACAAGATTATCTTGGCTCATTAGCCATATTAGCCTTGCAGAGCCCAGACGAAACATGGCTTGTTGTGCAGGCGTCCCTTGAGAACGAGCAGAACGCACTCTTTGAGAAATATCGCGAGCAGTGGGAAGCTGAAAGCCGCGAAACCAAAGAGTCGCAGCCAGAAAAAGGGGCTCCCACCTCTCCCCGGGACAAGACTCTCAGACCTCGCGGCTCCATGGTGGCCAGCGCCCTGAATGACAACCCGCAAATAATACATGGCCGCACTGGAAGCAAGGGCAGTGAGGAAGCCCATGTAAAGCTTCCACTGGATGAGTCCATGGACATGCCTTTGGACCACAAGTGCAGTTTGCTGGAATGCTCCGCGGCAACTTGCTGGGTTCTGAAGGCAGGAAGCAAGTCCACACGCAAGCGGCCGGAGACACCAGACTCTTCCGACTAAACAGGCACGGATGCGCAGTATACGCTTGACGAGCATAAAAGTCTTTACACTTCAGAGACTGCAATGTTCGGTCCTCTTAGCTGCAGCTACTCGTACAAAACAGCTATGCCGAAGGCAAGCTTGGATCCCAGAAACTAGCAACCCGTCCTGTCCTTGTACATAGCATTCCAGAATTCTAGAATGCCAGGGCAGGAGCAGGCCACTTGTCGTGTTGCAGCTTCAACTTGTCGTAGCAGTCGTAGCACGGAAAGCTCAAGGCAGACACCAAGTAGCACGTCTTCAACAACAGCAGGAATGGACGAGTTCTAGCAAGAAGGGCCACGGCAAGCGGCTACTGCGATCAAGGTCTTTTCATCTCAGAGCTGCCCAAGATGGTCAGCTGAACTTGAGTGTGCAAAGCCACAAAATCCCAAAACTTCCATTCACAACGTCAAGAGGCTAGCACCATGACATGCTTTAGCCAACAAAGCCCACAGTCCTACCAGTTCATAAAGCCCGCGTTTGGAGCAGTCTACAGGGTTGTCAAGCAATTGCCGTCTCATTAACTGGAGAGATGCCCGGCTGTGAGCAATGCATAGTTTCCCATGCCCTGTGCATTTGTGAACTTGCGAGGTTGCAGTTGTAATGATTATTCGGGTTGCACTGGTCATCATGCAGGAAGTTCTGCAACTCTTGCGGGCAGCTGCGCCGGCTGCCTTTGCATCTCCGGCGGCTCCCAAGGCCTTGGCTGAGGGAGACCTAATCATGCTTCCTGACTCACTCATGCAATTGCTCAAGAGATCATCGCAAGCGCGTGCGCTGCATGTAGGATGAACGTAGTTTGCACAGCTGGACGCTGCGGAGGACTTGGAGCCAATTGGCCTGCTGTTTCCTGGCCAGGGGTCGGAGCTTGGAACCCAATTTCAATTTCACGACGAGCGCAGGCCTTCACCTGAACAGCAGCCACCTGTTTTGCTTCAAAGGTATGTTGGAATGTTGTCCGGCGTGGGCCAGCTGCCGGAAGTTCAGGCCATGCTCGCCGAGGCTCGCAGTGAAGAGTCCTTGAATCATGCTGCATTGCAGTGGTCTTACAGCCGCAGCTGGAGCATTAGCAACAGCGCCCACGTGCTGCACAGGCAAAGAGACTTCTCGGTTTCGATCTCCTGCAGGCAAGCACGGTTTGGGCGCAGCACGGCAGTGTACTGCAGTATGGAATCTCCATGATCCGGCTCTTTGCGGGCCCAAGTTGTATTCAAAGAGCAGATGAGGAGATCACGAGCCCGTATTGCACCTCTCACAAGCCGCCGAAGTGGGTGACTCCACCTCCTTTGGCTAGGAAATGACATTCAATACTTAATCTAGCAAGTGCTGCCAGAGTGGTTCGCACATGAACGTCACTGCTAGCATCTTGTAGATCTTGTAGCACGACGTTACCGGACTGATAGCTCGACTTGCGATGTAGCTTGCTGTAGCACTTGCCACAGTCAAGCTTCAACGAGCAGCAATTAGCCAGTGGAGTATCAGAACAGCAATACATGCAATGATCTGGCTGAGCATTGCCAGCAGGTCTGCACGAGTGGCCCGGAAAGCAGCCTCAAGGACGTGCTTGCCACCTATTTGGCCTTTCCAGCAAAACTTCCGGCCCTTAAGAAATGGTGACATCCTTTTCACGCGTGATACCTTTTTGTTCTGGAAGAAGCCTTCATTATGTACTTCGAGGAGGGCCAGTCAGTATAGACCTCACAGTGATGTATGGAATGCAGATTCCGAAGATCACACACGCCCATCAACCTCATGTCTAGAGTTGCACCCATTGTAGCCATGGCCAGATTCCGTCAAGGTTGGGGTCCTGAATAACAATAAGTAGCAGGGTCCAGAGTTCCATACACCGGGCTGTCTTTAGTTGAAAGCGCCGAGTGCTAGTCGCGAGGAATCCAGTTGATAGAGAACAGTTTGACTGAAAAGGGGCGGGACATTTCAGAGAAGGTAAACAGATACCTGTACAAGCTTGGCGGGCACTTGGCGTTGGAAATTATTGTTGGTGGAGGATCTCCTGTGCAGTGAGAGTATACACCAGTTTAAGAGCTCTTGCAGACTTACGAAAGGCGTTCCAGCATCAACTTTGCGGATTTGCAAACTTGTTTTGCTCCACCTTTGCCTGCGGCATCTTGTCTCAGCAGCATCATATTGGCTGCGCAAGATGGACATGCAGGCATTATCGCAGCAAGCAAAAGCAGTAGTGGCAGAGTCGCTGAAACCAACATTGTACAGCAACAGCACAGCTTCCACAATACAGCCGCTGCGGTAGTCACGCAAGCCCACGCAAACCCACGCACATCTCACAAAGTTCACCTGAACAACAGTAATGGCCAGCGGCAGCTTCGGATTCCTACAGCCTGCGGCCTGCGGCTCAGGTTGTCAGTCCAAAGCAAGGTGATTACTCACATCTGGTAGGTTACAGGTACAGCAAACAGTAAGATCCAATTAGGTATACACATTGTATCACGCAACACGCAATGAGCAGCCGCATTTTTGACGTAAGAATGGACTAATCAGCAAGCTTGCAATCAGGACCAGCGCAAACTAACTGCGAATTGGACGAGATGGGTCATGCTGTACTTTTATTTTATATTCTGTTTGGTATAAAGGTTTCACATGCCATTTCCAACACGGCATATGAGACAATGTGATTTTGCCGACGTCGGCCGCAAGGTCAAATAAATTCAAATACAAGCTGAACGAGATCAGCGGGCGCGGACTCAAAGTATTGCAGTCGAACAAGGGCAATACACTAAACGAAGGGTTCATGCGCTTGTGGGTACTGGTTGCCTAGTTCCAATTTCAGTTGGGTGGCAGCCCCGCCTTACAGAGCTACAAGACTCGCCATGCAGCCTGCGGAGATCAAGAACCCCCATCATTTAAAGTGTAAAGGGGTGCCCAAAAAGTCGCCAATAAATGCTGCGAATGCTTGCGGAATTATGTGACATCCCCTGCAAACTTGGTCGGTCCACAAGTGCTGTCAGTGCTGTAACCCTGAGTCCAAGAGCGTCTTTTAGAATTCACAATTACTTAGCAAAGTCAGAAACAAACATTTGTCCAGTCAAGACCTCCTGAACCTAGGTGGCTTAATTTTTCGTGCCTGATAAGGCCTACTTAGGACCCAGAAAGGCGGCAGGATGTTCATCAGACCTCCTATCAGACGTCATGACCCTTGCTCTAAGGACTTGACCGTTACAGGCACGGTCTTCCTGGCGCCAAACCTTTGGTTGCTGGCGTCGGCGTTGGTCTTTCTGGTGCTTCAGAGAGTACGTACGTGTGGGAAAGCCCTCAATTTGCATGTCCTGTTTGGTGACTGCCATCTCAGCATAGCAGTTCTGAGCGAGCCAAGCTGCATGAAGCTGCAGATGGATTTGCATCTGATGCTGTAGTGATGGCGCACAGCTGTGACAGCTCCTGATTGAAGCCGTACTTCCCGCTGGAACGCCCAGGCATGGCTCATTTGCAGCTCGCCGGCAATGGATTCCCCGTGCCCGCCTAGCAGCCTCACAAAAAGGGGCTTACAACCAGAGCATCGTTTTTTTTTTCATAGCTTTGCAACGTTTTGTCCAGCAAATGCAGGGTTCCCTCTGCTGCACGCGCACGCAGAGGCTGTGTTGAGTCTCAACGTTTGTTGAATTTGCCTTGACCAGAGGCGAGCTACTCTTCTACATCTGGTATCGGCGTGCGTTGAAGAAGGCCACTCATGCCCTGATAGAACGCAAGGATCTGCAAGAGTCCGCACATTTCAGGAACTGTTGGATGTGGTGGCAGGTGGTTGTGGTAATGCAGTTGGGGTGTAGTAGCAGCTGGCATGATCACGTGTGATTCGGGTCATTCTGGTGCAGTGGGGGTTCTACAATGGTCCCGCACCAAAGGCTTATGTCTGGGCACGCCGCGACGTGCAAAATGTGTGGTTCAGATATTTATAGATGTTACTAGTTGGAATAAATGATAAGACAGGTAAATGACGATAACACAAGGATAAGGTCCAAAAGTTGGAAAATAATTAAATGAGAATAAGCCAATGACAGCAATTCAGGTCTAGCAAAAAACCAGGAACGGATTTTCATACACCCCATATCATTCTGCAACGACTGGGGATCATTTAGGCCTGTATTAGCTATAACACAAGGAGTGCTTCTGCCAGTGTTAGATGTGTGAATGGCTTCCTACGCCACAGCTGGCCCAAGAATTGCATCTATGCAGACACATCCACCCAGGCTCAGGCCATCAATTCGCCGCCGCTGGTCTCTGAAAAGGCGGGGAGTAGTGGCAGTTGCTGTTGGGCGCTGACCTCCACTTCAGCATGAAATGCAAGGAATACATATTCCATGTGAGCTATAGTCTAAACTCCTTATAGGGGGTTATATAGGGGAGTACTACAGGGGTCATTGAGTGGGACACTAGGAGTTTTGGCTATAGCCTATGTGCTGGAAGACAGCTCCCATATTCCACCTGGCAGAAGCATAGTGCGGAGCTTGTTCATGCTGCCCCCCAGAATCAGGACCGGAACTTCGTGGTAGACAAGATGGTTGCCCATGCTGCAGACTACGGCCCTTTGCTTGCAACATGTGATTTTTTTTAGTTTTGGAGATTTCTTCAAGCTTTGCAAGCTGAGGCATGTGGCGGCAGGTCCAGGGCTGGTTCCTAACAGAGGATCGGGACCCTTGGTTGCAGGCACCATTCCTGGCAACAGCTTTATCACAGTCGCTACACAATTACTTCACAGGACGCATGCCATCTGAGTATTCTGCAGCTTAGGATAGGCTTTTGAGCCCGCACGAAGTGGGGCATCTTGGCAAAACAGTTTCTGGGTTTACTTTTGCGAGGCGCGTGTTAAGGATTTGCAGTTTCGGTTTTGCTCTCGGGCCAGAGAATCGGACATTTTGGAGCAGATTGGGAGCTTCTTCTGGATTGCTCTCATCCCATCTTGGGTCTGAGGAGTATTTTCTGGAGGAGGGGAGGGTGTCGATTCCATGACATCAGGAAGCCGCACACCTTTGCGGAACTCATGGGGCTCTGAGGCGGGATGAGCTGACAGACATGATTGCCTGGGCCTTTTTCTACAAGAAGCTCGAGGATTTGGATGCAGATGAGGCCACTTGGACCCGACTGAGCATTGGATTGGTTGCAAATGGAGAGGCTTTACATGTTTTTGTTACGCTAAGGTTGCTTGGACTGACTTTACGCACCTCGGCATGCGGGGCAGCTGCACGCCAAGCTGCGATGTGGTACCTAAAAAGCACAGCACCAGACAGGGCCGGGAAACCCATGAGCCTGGCTGCTGATTTCGACAAGCGTCAACTCAAGCCAGCTTTGACCGTTTGACATGCTGCGGGAATCAAAGGTACGAGAAAATCAGCTCTGACTCTTGGCTTCATTGCCTTTAACAGCTCATTTTGTCGTGGCCCCATCTTTTCCGGTTTACGGGCTTTGCGAGGAGTTCCGCATGGATGAGAACCTGCGGCCAGGCAGAACTGGGGCGGTGCCAATCAGGCCCTGCGGCGGGCTGTGGTCGCATTGTGGCCACGTGATATTGGCACATCTTTGTTGCTATGTCTCGCCGGCTTCCGTGTTGCCACTTCTTCCGAGCTCCTTGAGGCATACACTCGACGAGATCCATGCCCTTCACCGACCTCTCCTTTTCTACGCTGCAGACCACCTGGATAGGGATGATGCACGTGGGTGTCAGTAGTGGAAAAGGATTCAGCAGCGCTTGTGTCTCATGCATGTTGGCAAGCAGAAAGAACCCCAGACTCACTGTTTGAGTTGCCCTGATTGAGGTCATCCGCGCCCTGGACTTCATGCACGGTTGCCTGCTGCAACTGGGCCACCACATGAATAGCGGAACAAGTGTACTCATAGAGGCATAACAAATAAAATGTCCCAGAACCACGGAAGCGGGGAATCCCAAGGGATCGGATTTCAACAAGCCACTCTTGCATTGTATTGTGAGCGATGGAGATGTCCAGTTCAACATGGATTTGATGTTATTCGTCTGAAGCAGGCATGTGTGCAGCTTTCAACCGTATGCGCTATAACTGCATAACGTATTGACTTTGAAGGCAGCATGACTTAAGTTCTCAAGCAAATTCTTACATTTTCTCTTTTTTGTTGCCGGGCGTTTTCCAAGTACAACACAACAACGTATGGCAGCTCGAACCAAGCTCCAGCTGCCCTTCCCCATGCTCGCCTCTGAGGATGGCCAGGGGCTTCAAGCGCGCGCATCACCAGGGTCTCAGGCAAGGCGTTTCGGGTTCGAGCGTGAGGTGTGGCATCCTTCAGCCTTTAGCCTGAAGAATGCAATCTATGGGAAACACGGGGATAGATCCTGAGCCGGCCACAAAGGGAACCCAGCAAGGGGAGGGGTTTGGCATGTCTAGAATTAGGTGGAAATCTTCGTTGCAACATTCAGCCGTTGTAGCCTAAAACCCATGAGGCAACAGACCTCCCACTGAGGAGCAGGCCTCCGTGCTCAAAGTATCAACCTCCGAGACATACTTTGGAAAGCGCAACTACGCACCCAAAGTGCTGTCATGTCATTCCATGTTTATCACCAAGCACAGCCGTAGATCAGAATCAGAAGAAGAGCGTCCATTGGGAGTTTTGGCTTGGTCCTGAGATGCCCTGTGCCTTGGAAGGTACTGGTACCGATTGCGGAGCTGCTCCCAGGGCCTTCATTGCCTAGAATCCCCAGAGCCTCAGCTCAAAAAGACCCATGTACAATTGATGTGAAACAACCGCCAAGATTCAAGGCAACTGCATGTTATGCATACCTAACAGGTGTGCATGACTGCGGCGTCAAAAAGGGCGGTTAGAGAAGGAAGGTAGAAGTGGTCATGAAAGTGTTTGGGGCCCAACTTGTTCGCCCAAAGCAAGCGTGGCGTTAGATTAGCATAGATGAACCACTCAGAGGTGCAACGAAACAAGGATCAAAGGCAACGCGAGGTGACAGGTATGGCTTGGGAAACCTAGAAAGCATCTCCCGAAAGTCCGAGTTAATAGTTTCGGTGTAGCAGCTTCTGCAAACTGACTTAGCGATGAAAAGCGTCGTTTGGGATGAGCTCGGGTCCAGGTTTAGATGTTGGGGATGTTCGACCTAGTGCCGTTAAAGCTGCGCGCTAAAGTTCTTAGTCAAGCTTGCCTTTGCTAGCAGATACCCATCCATTATGCAAACAACAACACTGATACAAGTATTCAAAGGTGTAATCTGCGCTCATGATTAGTAGCGCGTGTCCTCCGTACGACAACAGCCGGCCCGATTTTTCAAGGGAGTCCAGATCCTAAAAAGAAATGTAATTCATGCTAAGTGATTGGTTGTATGGGTTTGGAATTGTTTCAACTAAGCTTTTAAACTCGCAGAAGTTAACTTCAAACTAGTTTTTCTGTTGGGTTCAAGATTCCAATTATGAAAAGGATGCGGAAGTAATGATCCTGAAAACATGTGCTATGTTTTGCTATTGTTCTGTGGGGTTTTCTTTCCGTTTATCTACGCAAAGAAAGATCCTCTCGCGCAAGGTCTACAAGGGGTAACGGGTATCTCAGGAAGCCATGCTTGAGCTTTTCATTCTAATAATGAGTCATGATAAGCAGTTCAGGTTCCAAAATCAGCATCCATATTGATTGGGGATTTGAGGTCTCCAAATTCAGGCTTTAGCTTTCCAGCCTTGGGATGTTGAAGTAAACCTCCAACCTAAACCTTCCTCTTTGTAGTAGGGTCTGGCAATGCTTCGTTCTGAATCTGGGGGTTAGTAGGCTGCCTCCTGCCTTTAAAGTAGTCTTGGATCCGCAATTTGGCACCAACACATGCAACAAATATACTGGATTTTACGAATTCAAGAGCATGGATTAGTTTGTATGTGCAACTTCCAAGATGCTACAGGCGCTGCTTGGACATCACAAGCAGTTGTAAGCTAAGATTAAAATGTCCTCCGCACCTTGAACAGTAACAGCCAATCTTCCTCGGGCTTGGTGACTTTATACTTTAAGCTAACGTTAGGGACGACACTCACATTATTCTCTTCCCGAAGCAAGCCCTGCACAAGTCTTATACTAACCTCACTGAAGCACAGCCCATCACAGGAACAGCCTCTGATCTTCTTCCACGGCCCCGCGTCAGCAAGGACCATCTTGCACTTCATCCCACAGCATCGTTTCTTCGGGTAGTTGTCAAGCCAACGGTCCAAATGACACCCCGTTGAGTTGGACAGCACAGGGTTCTTCAGTTCCATGTCAAAAGCATGTGCAAGAGGCTTATCTGAGCTTCAGGTGTTACCACTTCTTGGGTTGTCAGGGTTCAGCTGAACTGAGCTGCCTTTTCTGAAGCAGCTACGTACCATTTTTCGTCCAGCGGGTTTCGATTGTGGCCATGGCATGCAAATTCAGGTCCCCCTTGCACAGACTAGTATCTTGACCAAATCAGGTATCGGGCTTGGCCTCACTCTGTACATGCCGCTTCTGCTACGCCTGGGCTCGCCAGACCAGTTCCTTTTTGAACTGCCATGGATGCTGGGCAATGTGGGCTAATAGCCCTGGGTGGCCACGGTTCCATTCGGGTCGGTTTGGCAGGAACCTAACCTTCCAAGAACCTTTTGCCGATTCGTGATGATTCCATTCCACAGATTATTCAGGCCTGGATTGCTGTAGGCTGACAGTGTAGCTGTGAATGGCGTCTTGCAAGTTTTAGGGTTAAGGGGTATATCATTCCCCCAATATTGGAAAGTCAAATGATAAGGAAGATATAATTGGGGTATGACATTATAGGAGTCTATATCAATGGCGGCCAGTCTCCATCACGATAATCAAAGGTTTGAATCGATGACCATTCCGGTGTCCTATGAGTACAACAGCCAAAAAACGGACATATGTTAGACTGTAGTCTGTAGCTAGTTCAGCCAAAGGGTGGTAGAGTGGTCAGAAAATCAAGTGACGCCGACTGTCATCTTATTTTGTGACAGCATAAGGGATCCTGAAGGGTGCTGGCCCGCATTTGGGGATCATACTTTGGGGTCTTGCCTAAGTTCTGAGTCTTAAACCCGTATACATATAAGCCCTATACAAGCCACAGGGTCTTGAATAGGAGTCTTCCCACGATTCGGTTTCTACCGTTCGCAGCGGTAAAGATCGTGAACGGTGTGATTCCTCAACGATTCGCTTTCTGCGGCTTGTGTCGCCTTTTGGATGTCATCATGTAGTGGGACTGGATACGTCCATTTTGTTAGGACAAGAACGCACCAATCCTCCGCAGTTCAGCTCAGGATTTCAATGAACCCATTTGCAGAAATTCCCGCCTCCGACGATTATGCACGCTGGGTGGTTGAAGTTTTGGAGGAGCACAACCTCACTTCCTGCGTTGCCCTGGGGCACTCCTTTGGGACTTTGCCTGTTGCATGGATACTTCGTTACAAGCCAGCGATTCTGTCCCGATGCGTGCTGGTGGATCCTGTATGCATTCTGCTAAACCTGCCTGATGTGTGTGTGAACTTTCTCTATAAGCGGCCGAGATCTGCCATGGGCGCGTTGTTGCGCGTTTTTGGTGCTCGGGAGTTTGGCATCGCTCGAACTCTCATGCGGCATTTCTTTTGGACAGACAGCGTGCTCTTCCCTGAAATGCTGCCAGAGGGCTCATCTGTGATCCTCATGGGCAAAGACAAGCTTCTGCCTGTGAAAGACATTTACACAACAGCTGCAAAGCTTCCTCAGCTGAAAACCCTTGTTTTAGATGGCCTGGATCATGGACACTTCCTGGTCTGGCCTAGGGCTACATCGCAAATAGTGGAGCATGTTAACGGAGGCGTGTCAAAGACACACTAGGCTCGATCTCTCAAGGTGGTCTCACCAGCGCTAAACAGAGCGGACGCAGATCGAGAAAAGGCTAAGCTGGCACATTCTCAAGCTTCATCGAATAGAAGAGCAACTGTGCTCTCGCATTCAGGAGGATCTCACCAGAGCGCACCCCGCCCTCTTTGTGGGCGGGTTGGCTGCACACCGCAAGCTCCTGGATGAGAAGCCGAAGGTTCCCCTCCAAATATTCTCTGTTCTGTTCAGCAAGTCGGAGACCACCCTTTTTCCCCTTTCCCTCATGTCATGAGCCTTCAGGCCGGCAGCTTCCAGGCAGGTCTCCCAGAAGCACCGCTTGGGGCCTGGGAGCGAGCGAAGCATGCGAAGCGCATCGGTACCGAGGTGGCTACCGGCTACTCCCTGGGCGAGCTTACTGCGCTGACCGCCGCAGGCAAGAGAGAAAGAGAGATGCAGAGATCTATTCTGAAGGGAGCCTGCTTTGACAAAAGACAGGAGTCTTCTCCTTCACAGATGGCCTTGCCCTGGTGCTAGAACGAGCCAAGGCCCCCACCATGACATGTTGTAGTTTGCCGGCTATTCTGTTGCTGCTTGCTAAGAGGCCATACAGGAAGCGGCCAAGCTGCAGGAGCAGGCATCCGTGTGCCGATGAGTTGGAGGGTGTTGACTGCTGCATAGCACAAAGGCATGTTCTATCTTTGGCATCCTGATCATTTCATGTTACGCGCGCATGAGCACCGACGCTGTAAAGAAGCAAGCGCGGCCGCCCCTGCTCGATCGCCTCCGTGACGATGGCTCTCGCTTTGAAGTTGGTGG